GTCTAATTCTTTGTCGTTTTCTTTGCTTTGGTATGTAAAGTGAGTGCAACAGATGTTGGTATGTATCTTTTTTGTCTTTCATATTTTAGTGTTAGCTTAGTATGTTTAAATTTATGCCTAAAATGTTTAGTATTTAAACTGTACATTCAAATAATATGTTTTATGCTCTTTGAAATATGGCATGTCACAGGTATTGCTTTCATAATATCTTCACTATTGAGAACTGTTCAGTGTTTCATGTGATTTGTTTCTGTTAAACAGAATTTTCAACAAGAAAAAAATATATGAAACTTGTTTTTATCTATAAGGAATTGGTTTGAATTTAATTGTGAGAAATGGGTGTATATGAACTTAATAGAGACGTGTTCATGTTGATTTCATTCGTTAAGAACTTGTATAAAACATTTGTTTTAGTTGTGTAGTGTGTTGAGTGTGGCTCTGAAGGAGAAGAGGAGACAACGGATGAGAACAAATGCATTGAAACAGGTGATTATCCCACTGAATCCATATCTTCATTTAACTTCGTGGTAATATATGAAAGCCTGTTTCTGCACGGAATAAAAAATAGCAACTTCTCATCTCACAATTGTGACTTCTCTGAGTTTATATTTAGCAATTTCACAATTCTGAGAAAGAAACTCTTAATTCCAAGATATAATCATCAAGAATTGTGAGATGTCAAATCAAAATTGTAACAAATTGTAAATCGCAACAAATAGTGTAAACCGGCTTCCTTAGTAATAGTATGGGTTGTCTGAATTTAACAGTGTTGAATAAATTTTTTTGTTCTTACAGACGAAGAAGATTTTGAGTTCGGTAGGTAAGTCTTTTCTGAGGAAAAAACTTTTTATGGAATGCGAGAATAATTTAGATTTTATGTAAATATTAGATTTTATGTAGATTTGCTGATTTGTTATTAAAACATTTGTCAATGATCTTTAATTGATCAAATCTTTGTTTTGCCCAGTGTCAGAGGAGGGTGAGAATGGTGAACATATGCAGGGATTATATATAGGTATGAAATCTGAATTACAAATGTAAATTTTGGCTCATATGTACACCTAAATGAAAAGTAAATTTTTTAATTGTTTGAATCAGCGGGGTTCCGACACAGTCTGCGTGTATGGAGGAGGAAATCATACAGTAATCGAAAGCCCCATTTTTTTCTGATAACAGGTTGATTAGCTGCTATGAACATAAGTAAAGAGTGTGTTCATGAATTCTGGTTATGACATGTAACACTGTCCCACTGGTTTTCTCAGGACAAAGACTTTGAGGAGATTGAGGAAGCAAGCAGGACTATGAAGGCCAAGTATCGTCAGTATTTTGACTGTGTGATTGTGACCGATGATCTGCAAGATTCATGCATGGATCTGTTCACGGCTATACAACATGCTCAAGAAGAACCACAGTGGATTCCTGCCAGCTGGTTTGCTCCTGATCATCTATGATGCACAGACATACATAAGAACAAACAAGGGAATTTTTGAATGGTTGTAATTAATGTAAAAGAACCATCATGTTATTCCTGTGGTGTCAGCAGCTGCCATAACACCTCAGCCACCGTTTATGAAGAGGTGGTCCACTACCAGCGCCACATAGACGATCCCCCCCCCATCTCATTGTGCTCATTGGTATGGTCCTCTTTGTGCAGGATTATCTTATCCATACATGAACGGACAATAACTATCATTTGTCTTATTGGCTGTTTTAAATTTGTCCTATTAAAGGCTTAATGCTTTTCCATGTTTTTCACAGCTCCATCAGGAGTTGGTGTAAATGAACTACACAGGAGGCTAATCAAAATCAACCCTAATACGTACCAGGGACCAATATCTCGTATGTGGTCCATTTGATCCCTTTAACCTCTGACTTAAAGGTTCTGTAAGCTAGTTTTTTTAAATATGAAAAAATGTCCTGACTACCCTCAGATTTTGGAGGGCTGGATTTTAAAGAGAGGCTGTGTGTTTGAAGTTAACAAAATGTCTGAAATTGCTTACAGCATCTTACATTATTTAACAAAACGGTCTGATGTTATAAGTTGTCATCTTACATTATTTAACAAAACGGTCTGATGTTATAAGTTGTCTCTTGTTTTGTTCAAGACACAACACGGTCCCAGAAAATGGGTGGGAAGAATGGCCGTGAATATCACTTTGTGACCAAGGAAGTGTTCGCGTACATGGTGGTTAATCACAAGTAATCTTATTGCTTATGTTTAAATACTTAAAATATATATATATAGTTGGCAATCTGTTCTTGTGATTCAGCTTACTCTGGGGTGTTTTTTGTGTTTTTAACAATGTCCAGATTTCTTGAGTATGGACAGCATAATGGACACATGTACGGCACCAGCTTAGACTCGGCCCAAGATGTTTTGGACAATGGAAAAATATGTGTTATTGACCTTGAACCTCATGTAGGTGTCATTTATGTTTATCAAAACCACACTTATGTTTTTATCATTAGTTTGGTTGCAAACAGTGATGTACATGCACATATCTGTTTATTCCAGTGCATTCATTCAGTCAGAACCAAGAAGCTGAAGCCCTACATCATATATGTACGGCCTCCATCTCCTGCCTGCATGAAGCAAACAAGAAAAGACCCACATTTTCTTTCCAATAGATACATCAAGAGATACTTTTATGTAAGATATGCATTTGATATTTCTTGTAGTAAAAATTTTTCTGATAACAGGTTGATTAGCTGCTATGAACATAAGTAAAGAGTGTGTTCATGAATTCTGGTTATGACATGTAACACTGTCCCACTGGTTTTCTCAGGACAAAGACTTTGAGGAGATTGAGGAAGCAAGCAGGACTATGAAGGCCAAGTATCGTCAGTACTTTGACTGTGTGATTGTGACCGATGATCTGCAAGATTCATGGATGGATCTGTTCACGGCTATACAACATGCTCAAGAAGAACCACAGTGGATTCCTGCCAGCTGGTTTGCTCCTGATCATCTATGATGCACAGACATACATAAGAACAAACAAGGGAATTTTTGAATGGTTGTAATTAATGTAAAAGAACTGAATTTTGAAAAAACAAATGCCTTTGTTTGTAGTTTAGGAAAAATTAACTTTCATGTGTACCCCTGAGTAAAATCTTATTTGTCATCAGCAATTGTCTGGATTATCATTTTACATACAGTACATAGTACATATACTGTAAACACATATTTAGGCCTCGAGGGTCTTCACTAATGTCTTATGAGATCTGTAGGTTTATTTCTGGTGACTTCAACTGTTTACACTAGTGTAGAAGCTATTTTTGTGTCTGCTAAATGAAATGTAAATGTGGCATATTACACGTGTAAGATGTCAACATACAGTATATTGTAATAGTTTTGAGTCCTATATGAATTTAGCCCATGCATGTGCTAAAGTTGTGTTGCAAATATGGCCAAGTCAAAAGAGCTCTCACAAAAGCTATAGAGAAGAAATATTACAAAATGTTGCATGACGACTTTCAAGTCACTAAGGCTAAATTTTTAAGCAATTTTGCCGGGCAGCTTTTTTTAAGCAACATTGCTTGGGCACTTTCCCATTGAGAATGGGTAACAAATTTCTATCTGGATACTTTAGATTGGTCGTGAGCCCTGTGTCTCACCTGGTTGCCTGTTGACGGCAGCATTGCTCAAAAAGTTGCCCTGTGTATCATCAGTCTAAAAGTTCCTAGAGACACAACTGTCAGCATTACTCATAAGTTTAAAAGGTGTACCAGAAAAACTCTGATGGCATTAAAGAAAAAGCACAACATCATCAAGAGGAATACAATGTCTGAACAGAGCAAGATGACCCGATGAAAGGATGAAGAAACATTTCAATGGAGCGTATCGGAAGAACACTATACAAACATGGCCTTCATGTCAGGACACCTTACCGAATGCCACTCTTCACAAATAATATAAAGGGCTGACTTGAATATGCTCAAATTAATTTGTGGAGTTCAGGAAAAAAAATTTTTATAGCGTAATGTGACCAAACTGAACTTTTTGGACCCATGGGCCCATGTCTGGTGCAAAAGAGCAGCAGAAGACCATTTCCATAGTCAACCATGGTGGTGGAGCAATCCTGTATGAAGGACATTATGGATTCTTTGAAGTATCGGGCTATTTTGGCAAAGATTGTGATGCCTTCAATACAGAGACTGAAACCGATGATCATTGGACTGCAGGGCAATTATCCAATAGTATACATCCAAAACTTCTGGGCTAAGATTTAACAGGAGAGTTGTCAATGCTTGTGAGCACGTAGAGGCAACATTTATTAGATGTTATAAAGAAGAAAAGATTCTCTGCAAAATTTGTCTTTTGGGGGTTTAATAATTTTGTACATAAATTTTTAGAGCCAAATGTGCATGAAATGTTCTATAATTTCAGATGCTTTGGTTGAATTGTTTTCTTATATTGTTTGCAGAATAGGCAGCAGAATGTCCTGCAGGTCAAGGGGTTTAATAATTTTGGCAAAGTGCTAATGGTTATCTTTCCAAACTTGTTTGGAAGGCTTGAGTTTAAATCAGTTTTTAATCTTCAAAACTATAGGATGGAGGGAAAGATTTGTAAAAAATGTTTGCGTTAAAAAAATACCAAAGACATCTTAACACATCTCAAAGACATTTTTGAATCTGCCTTTTCTATCATTCATTAAGCATTTTATATATTGTCATATCATATTGTATTAGTTCACATATTATGTTGGCATATCCTACCAGTGTCTGTCTGTCTATCTATCTAGAGAGAGAGAGAGAAAATGAATCCCTTTTCAAAATAAATCTAAACATGTTTTGAAATGTAACACTGGGTGTACTTATTCTTTTCACTTTGTGTATGTGCTTTTTATTGAAAAAAAAATGAATTAAACGTATAAATGTGTAGGCCTATGATGTAACAGCTGTAGTTAATGGTGTGTAGATAAGGGGTTTTGTCATGGTGTGTATGTGTGGTTCTCTCAGGCTGTCCTCACTCACCGATCTATGCCACACTAATTCCCTCCTTGGCAGATGCACGTCTGTGAGGATTAAGCCCAGGATTAGACAGCCTGACGGCCCAGCCAAGACTCTCCTCATCTCACACCAACAGCTCCTGCACCACGACTCCAGCCAGACAAGAATGGGAAGAAAACAAATGGTAAATTATGCCACACAGTATTATAGCAGATCCTTAGCATCAGTCATTTAAGATAAGCAGCGTGAGCTTTGACCACTGTCTATGGCTTTGACTGATATGTGGTCAAGATAAAGACAAGGAGCACTGGATGCGTATTGAGCCTTAGCCCATAATGTGTAAAAGCCATGTATTTTTGTTTTGATTATTAGAGCGAGCTGTGTAGGATTTAGTTGTAACCTATATTTATATTTCTTTATGATCTGAATGGCAATATAAAGCTGTCAGAGTTAGTTGACTAGTCAGTTGACATGTACTCGTGATAGACTTTCACTGAAGTTCACACTTACTATTCACCTCCTTAACATAATATCTTCGCTATTTATCAGCTGGGCTCTTGTCTTGTGTATGTAGTGTCATATGTGTTTACATACATTACTGTGTGACCATATGTGACCTGTTTATAATCTGGTATAACCAGACATGGATCACAACTGATCACCTCTTAAACTTACATGGTCAGGATACTGTAGCTACTCAAACACGTTTTGGTGACTTTCTGTAATATTATCTATCTAGCTATATAAATATAAAATATCAGATCTAAAAAAATACCTCTATCTCTCAATCATCTAAAATATCTATCTAGATCTAACCAGACAGATATTTGAGAGGTAGATCTGTTATTTTTTTCTATCATTTTATGTATTATTAATTGCTTAATTATGAATTTCTATTTGCAATAGTTGGATGTTTTTGATTGTGATTTTGCTTACTGTCATTGACTTGCTAAGTGGTTAAAAGTGAGCATTTAAGTCAAGCAGAAAGAAGCAGTTCAATCAGTGTTGTTTACCTTGTGGCCTCAAAATCTTCTCTCAGTAAAGTGCTATATCTAGCAAGAGGCTAATTTAAAGCTACATGCTCACTGTATGCTCACACAAACACTCTACATATTGACTTCAGTTGTAAGCAGGTTTTGAAATTAACACTCGCCAACACCGCAAAATGCGGGTAAAAATCAGCTGTGGCGGGTCAAATCACTAGCTAATTTGGCGGGTTACTTTTCATAAGTTATGTTCACTCATTAATTTCTTGGGGAAGTTCATGCAAGCCAAATCTGCGCAGGTTTAGCGCAAATACTGAACACGTGAGACATCATGATATTATCTAGTATATTGCAAAAAACCAAACAAAACACACCTACAGAGAGGCACGCATACTCGACGTGATGAAGTCCAACACAGGCTTTAGTGCGCGTGCGCATTTAGAGTGCGTTCTTTCACTGCATGATTCAGTCTATTAATATGCATTAAGAATGATCACATAATTCAAGATAAGGGGGCAGAAAATTTATATATTTAGATCAGTTCATATAGTTAATCAATATCACACGAAGAGTGCCGTTGTTTTCTTAAAATATCAGCATGGTTACAAATGTGATATTGATTTTACAACAGTTCAATAAACAATAAGTTAATATCAAGAGACTTACATTTTAGACGCCATATTGGCAGTGACTTGCTTCCACCTACTGGCGATAATTAATTTCACATTTAAAGTATCTTTTAATTTTTTAAATAATTTTCAAATATCACTATTCAACATTTCATGTTTAAAATATCAAAACATTATTTATACATTTGTAACTGCAGTTTAAAGCATTCCATGTCCCTCTAAGCTGCATTAACATGTGTAAATACATCTAAATGCCACTTCATATGCAACTTCTGCAAAGATGAATTTTTTTTTGGCTAGTAGAAGTTATGAATGGCCGGTAACTTAAAACTTTAGTAGCCAAATTGGCTGGTGAGTGAAAAAGTTCATTTCAATCCCTGGTTGTAAGAAGTGGGTCTCATTTTCTTTGTTTTGTTTCCATTCAGTCCTGATTTTCGGGTGTGTGACGTCAAGACACCAGCGGTCAGTTATCCTTGTTGAACATCTGAACATGTGAACAGGAAGTTTTAATCAAATCAATTATATTATTTGGCTTAGCCTTATTAACCCCAAAGCCTGTAATAGTTTCTATTGTACTTGGATTTCTAATCTAATTACTATAAAGGACTAGTGTAAACTGTAGACAAAGCTGACTGTCCTATTTCTACCTTTTATAGACAAAATGCCAAGTGTCAAACCCAAGAAAAAGAAAATCAAGAAGGACATTAATGAAGTTGAGGAACCACAAGGTAATTACACTTATAAATGCCTTATTTGATCTTAACAAGATCACTTTAAAAAAAATTTAACATTTTTATGTGTTTGCTGCTGGACAAATACGTTCTTGTGAAGGCAATTAAGTGTAGTCCATTGGTGTAACAGCTACCTCTGCAGGTAGCCAGTGGAATAGTTCAAATACCCACACAAAACTGGCTTACTGTTTACTGCACATATTTTGTAGTTGCTTCTTTTCTTTCAAGGATAATAAATGTAGAATCTTGCAGCATTTGTCTCCTTTATATTTGTATAATCCCCAATAAACAACAGCAGGGCCCGAGCCAGCTATAGAAATGGAGGGTCTGGAGAGCCGCAGAGAGCCACTGACCCCTGAGCCTCAGGACAATCCACCACAGAAGAAGAAGAAGAAAAAGAAGGCACATACTTTTGGTAAATCATTTTTGTTAATGATATTCACATTTAATTTATGGATGTTATTTTCTTTTTCTTTTTTTAGATCAATTGTTCTTGATTTCGTTGTTTTATAAGATGAGAGTGAACAACAAGACCTTCCAAATGGAGATGTTCAAGAGCCTCATACAGATGATGAAGAAGTCACCAGAAAAAGCAAGAGAAAAAGGTGAGAAGCAAAAACTTTGAAAAGAAAGTAAATACTTCTAAATACAGTAGTTTCATAGACGTTGTGATTGTATTATTCTCTCCTGAGAATAATGTCCACTTCTTTTTGAAGGAAGGCTAAGATGATGGAAAACCAGTCTCATAATGAGCTCGGCGTGGAGGAGGAGGACATCATCACCGATGTGCACGCACCCATATCTCAGCGCTCTCTATTCTCAGCCCCTCTGGGTCACAGTCATCCGATCGGAAAAGTGTTTGTAGAAAAGAACCGTGAGTTTCATTTTAGATACATACATGTAATGATACTATCATTATACATAAATATACTGTATGCTAACAAAGATATATTGGTCACACTTTATTTTAAGGTCCAATTCTCGCTATTAACAAACCATTAAATACAACTTTTGCCTCAATAAACTAATTTGCTGCTTATTAATGGTTAGTAAGGTAGTTGTTAAGTTTAGGTTTTGGATAGGATTAGTGAGGTAGAATATGGTCATGCAGAATATGTGCTTTATAAGCACTAATAAACAGCCAATTTGTTAATAATAGGCATGCTAATAAGCAACTATTTAACAGTGAGAATTGGTCCCTATAATTGTTGCCAATGTATTAGTTATTAAAAAAATCTCATATTCTGTATTTTTGCAGATCCTATATTTATAGATCTGATTTATGTCAAAGACATATATACAGTGTGTATATATATATATGTATATATGCAGTATTATGACAAGTATATTATATATAAATGTAGCCACTAAAATAGGATAAACTATGACCTCTGACCCAGGCCGCTTCCAGGCGACTGATCATTTGGATTTATCCCGTGACCAAATGGAGGAGTACATGGAAGTCAGGCCCATATGGAATACACGAGATGTCGCCATGAGGGTCCACAGTGGCTTCAGGTGGGTTTGGTTGGCAGATGATCTAACAGCTCTTATCAACGGGCTTCATGAGTTTGTCTAGTACTCATCAAGACCGTGACCTTTTCATGTGGTTTTCTTTTTGGAGCTTGTTGACTTGTTATGTGTTGAACTCAACTGCCAAATTTGCTGTTGCTTTCTGTGTAGGATCATTGGACTGTTCTCTCATGGGTTTCTGGCAGGATATGCGGTGTGGAATATCATTGTTGTGTATGTGTTAGCTGGAGAGCAGATGACCACTCTACATAACCTTCTCCAGCAGTACCACAGTCTGGCTTACCCAGCCCAGTCTCTGCTCTACCTCCTGCTGGCCATCAGCACCGTGTCTGCCTTTGACAGGTGTGTGGACGCATAGTAAGAACACAAGTGTCAATATAAGCAACAACCGTATAAACAATACATAATCATACTCCAAGCGATTTAAAATCGTATTTTAATGAACAAATATATTGATTCCAATTCAATAAATAAATGCTTTCACCAGGGATCCCCATACATTTTTGTCAGCTGTTCCCCTTTTACATTGAGATTTTAAGTTTAAATTTCAATAATTTGACAATATTTTTGCATGATCATGGTTATTGGGTTGTGGCTAGAAGGGATACAGCTACGGCTGGAAACTAACAATAAATTACATTTTCTACCTATTAGAATTGTTTTATTAATGTCTACACCTACTCCAACACTAAACCTATCCCTTACAATAATGCAAAAACAGTAATTATTGTTGTACAGTATGACAAAAATTACGCTATATTGATGAGCGCAAGCCCAGTAGCTGCAACTCTATCTCTTCTAACCTTAACCTGGTTCTTGCATGTCGGTGAATGGTCACATGACATGCAGTTAAAGAAAATATTTTATTGATCAGTTTTATTTTAAAGTCATTTGTTTTCATTTGACATTGTCATGATTTGATTATTTATATGTGTTATACCGCTATGTGTTTGCAAAACCCAATTTGGGAAAATCTGCACTAAGATTGAATCCCAAGAAAACTGATAAGAGAATTTCGCAGAACTATCTGTTGTACAGTTTTTTGATTTGAGTGTTTGAAAATCATGTCATTTGACAAAATAAATGTTCGGAGTGAATTATCTGTACCCTCTTTACATCAGGGTGAATCTGGCCAAAGCATCCATGGCTCTTCGAGGATTTCTCACTCTTGATCCAGCGGCTCTTGCTTCCTTCTGTGAGTGAAAATCAATAAACTTTATCAACACAACACTTACCTCTGACCAGGCTTATTATAATTAACTATATAGACATTTAAATGGCTAATAATGACAAAAGCATACACAACAAAATTACTTAAACATAGAGTAAAATTAAAGCAAAAATATAAAAGACTCATTGAAAATATTAATAAAAACCACAAAACTTAAAGGGGTCCTATTATGCTCTTTTGCAAAGTCTTGATTTTGTTTTGGGGGTGTACTAGAACATGCTCTCATGCTTGGTGGTTCGAAAAACACATTATTTTTCACATAATTTACATTATTACAATACCTTTCTCCCCAGGCTGGCACAAACGGCTCGATTAGTCCCGGCTTTGATGAAGGTCCGCCTTCCGAAAAACAAAATCTGTTGTGATTGGTTAGCTGTCCCAGTGCGTTGTGATTGGCGAACAGCTTAGATGGTGTTTCAGTACTGCCCCGCCTCTTGCTCCGTCTTTCAACAAAAGCTTTTTGGCGAATCCGGCACTGTACTCCCTCATGTTGTGGAAGCTATCCTCAGTAAAATGCGCAGCACACAATAGCAAATTGGGGTTATAATGCTCAGGAACAGAGTTAAAAAGTAAATTGCAACCACTGTTTCCTGACATCATCCGCTTTCGGAAGCCCAAACAAAGACGTTTGGGCAAAATTAACATTGTTTTGTGCTAAATGTTTTGATTGTACTTTATTGGTGAGCTTGTTATATACTGTAGATAATAACTATGTAAAAAAATAAATACACTTTTTTGTCAAATTTCCTGCTTCACTTTTTTGTTGATCTTCTAAGTGTGTATTTTAGAAGCGCGACTTAAATAGTCGTGTGGTGTGTTGAATTCTTACTTTTTTTTTAACAACAGATTTTTCATGTCTATGGATTCATAAGAACTGAATTTATAATATAGTTATTCAACAATTAGAAATATGTTGTTTAAATACTTTTACCAGAAGTATTGTATTACATACTGCAGGTTTGTAAGTTGCTTTGGATAGAAGCTACTTAAAGTGTGGGCTAAATTAATAAATGGAAGTAAATGTAGGACACGCCTGTCGATCACTTGATGTTTTATGTCAAATACACCCCGTTACCACTAAACGCATCATTAAAGAGCATGCATACACTAACACAAGTCATATAGCACAAACTGAATTTTAATACTGTTGTTTCCAACTAGAGATTAAAGGAGTGAAATAATTATTATATGTTATGACAACACAGGGGGCGCAATTTCCAAAGGAATGTGAGACAGAAAAGTGCATCTTTTCAGCAGATGAAGAGTAATGCATTCCTTCAGCGTATATTATGTGTGATAATTAATTTTGATTAAAGATACATTATTGTTGTCAGGGAGAAGAAAACGAGGAATGAGAGGAAGAAATACATAGTGATAAAGGTTTGTTTATCTGCTCAGCTTAATAAAGGTAGCACTTAACTTTCATTAATAACAGTATCAAACATTGTTATTACATCATATACTGTAATGCTTAGATCGCTGGTTAAATCAACCAAAAAAAGAAAAAAAAAAAGTAAAGAAATATAAATATTGTGGAACTTTTAATTCGTACACGCTACTCGTCAAATGTTTTGATGTTTTTGAAAGAAGTAGGCCTTATGCTTACCAAAGGTGCATTTATTTGATCATTCTTAATATCTCATATTGAGGTATTATTACAATTTAAAATAACTATTTTATATTTATATAGATTTTCAAATCTTAAGAAACTCAAGCAACCTTTCTTGTTTTCAATTCTGAAAAGACAAAATTGCTGCGGAATATTTTTGTAGAAAACTAAGATACACTACCATTCAAAAGTTTGAGGTAAGATTTTATACATTTAGTTTATTAGTTCAAAAATGACTAAATGTATATTTCAATTCGATTCTGTTCTTCTGAACTTTCATCACAGTTTCTACGAAAATATTAAGCAGCAAAAACGGTTCTCAACATTTATAATAATAAGAACTATTAATAACTGAGCACTAATAATAACTGTGCACAATATCAGCATAGTAGATTGATATCTGAAGAATCATGTGACACTGAAGACTGGTGTAATGGTCAGCTTTGCCATCACAGGAATAACTCGCATTACAGCAGAAAACAGTTATTTTAAATTGTAATACTATTTCACACTACTGCTGATATTATTATATTTTTGATCAGTGCAGCCTTACCGCTCTTAAAAATAAAGGTTCTTTATTGGCATTGATGAAGAACCTTTAACATCCATCAGGGAACCTTTCTGTTCCACAAAAGGTTCTTCGTAGTGAAAAAGAAAAGTTGTTTATACTATTTAAATGTTGTTCACACTAAGAAAAAAAGGTTCTTTTAAGAACTGATCACTGAAAAGTTAACCAAAAATGGTTCTTATTGCATCGTTACGAAAACACCCTTTTGGAACCTCATTTTTTAAGAGTGTTGGTATAAGCAAAAGAGACTTCTTTCAAAAACAAACAAAACAAATCTGAATTATTGCAAACCTTTAACCAATAGTGTATATTTTTATATTTAAATGTAGAATATGGTATGGAATAGATGCTAATTATATTATATGATATTATTATATTACTGGTAAACGCCCTTCCTTAGCTTTCCCCAAAACTCTGAAGCCGCTGCACTTCCTGTCGCTGGTTGCGCCGCGCGAGGCGGGCGCGTGGAGGGATGTAAAGATGGCGGAGCTTCAGATGCTGCTGGAGGAGGAAATCCCAGCGGGTCGCAGAGCGTTACTGGACAGCTTCACCAACCTCCAAAGAGTCGCCGAATACTGCGAAAGTAACTACGTACAGGTGAGCGGGCGAAGCGTTGCACATACGCGGTGTTTCTGGAGTTGATGTGTGGAGAAGGAGCTGTTGGTGTCTATGTGGAGGCTGTTGATCATCTGTTGAAGCTGAGCACCAACTACTAAATGCATGCGCGCAACTTATGGTTTTTATAAACCATAAAAGTTTATAGCACTCTTAGGCGAGGCTGTAAACTAAGCGAAGACTACTTTGCGAGAGATGCGCTCAGGTTTGCAGTGAGTGTAGCGCGCCGATAACAGCGATTAAATGATCATCTCGCACTGGGAAACTTTGTTCTGTTTCTCCACGCGAGTAAAACATCTGATAATGCACTTCAAATCAACTCCTCGTTTGTTTTTACACATTTATAGACCGGTGACACTTTCTGTTACTCGTCGTGATCATCGCGAACAAGTGCAGGAGCAATCTGACAGACTGCTGGAGGCTTATTGGAAGTCTTCCATACTGATGGCATGTGTCAGGACAGGTTTATTTCAATCAGATTTTCTTTGAAGTGTAAATCACTTATGAATATGAATATGAATTGTGCTTGAACACTCATGTCAGTCGTGAGCAGGAATTCTTATTTAATATGTATTTGGCACACTCTAGTCATATCTGTATTGGTGAATTAAATGTTAATGTTTATGTACTAAAATTCATGTTTTAGTGCAGTGATGCACACTAGGGTCAGTTTTAGTGGTCTACCATTATAGTTTTTTTTTGATGGATGATGCCAATATTTTAGCAGGGTGACTAATGGTTAATATAAAGCACATATGTTAAATTAAATAGTGTTAAATAGTGCTGTCAAACGATTAATCGCATCGTAAACACATGCATATATATAAGAAAAATAAAATATATAAAATGTATATTATTTATAATATAAATTATACACATAAATAAAAATGTATATATAAATACTTTTAAAATATATATATATATGTATGTGTGTGGATTTATGTACATAATAAATATACACAGTGCACACACATTTTATGTAGACACAAACTTATTATGGATGCAATTAATTGCAATTAATCGTTTGACAGCACTAATTTAAAGATGGTATAACACACTGCAGTTTATATTTAACAATATTTAGTATGTGCACGGGAAATCATATTAAAATAAATATTGTGTAGTACATGCTTACTTTCCAGTCAGTCTGACTGAAATCACCCAGTTTTGATGGGTTTTCATCAGTGTTAACACACCTGCACATTACTGACAAACGTAAAAGCACTCTCTGTCCCATTCCACTGTGCTCTTTATGTGCTGAGCCCATCCCTGAAGCTGTTATATCCTGCGATAGCCAAAAGCAGTTTTGTGATGCTCAGCACTGATGCATGCATGCTCTTGCTTAGCAGTTCATGGCAATGTTTTTTTTAGTGCCAAGGCCACATTTAAAATATTTAGATTACTGGCTTTTAGAACAGAGACGTGAATGAAATGAGACTGCCTACAGTGGTAACTGAACAGAGGTGTGTTTCCCAAAAGCATCAGTTGCCAACTCTGTTTTGCAAGTTACATTGAACTATATTGGTTACGACAGCACTTGTGACCATTGCATTGCGTTATAGGATTGTCTTTGTAAACATAACATGCTGTGGTGTCTTGAATTTGAATGAACAATTTTAGTACACTCACTACACTGTAAAAAATTACCTGTAACTTTCAGGGTTGCCAGCCGGTTACTGTAATATTTACAGCAGTGTTGCTGTAATTTAACTTACAGCATTTCTCTGTATTTCCTGATTGCAGTGAATAACTTTTATTATTTTTATTTTTTTTATACAGTAAACTACTTTAATGTGTGTATGCTGTAATATTAATGAATATTAATGACTAGCAGGTCAATTTTAAATTTAAACTATTCATTAACTGCATAAGCTTTAAACAACATTTAACTGCATAAAGTGTTGTATGATGCATAAATTAATTCACCTGTTATTTAACAAAACAAAAATATGTACACTTCTTAAACAGGACAAAGTTTATTTAATATATAACTTTCAAAATCGCATGAAAGAAATGTCATAAACAGTGTATGTAGTAATATCGGTACTTTGAATTCCAAAATAAATTGGAAATGAAATTCAATAATATTAAATTACTTGAAACATATTACCATGCATCATTTTAAAACCACAAGTTAACCAACATGGTCATAATTAAACTAGAGATGCACCGATCGATCGGCCAGGGATCGGAATCGGCCGATTTTCCTCATGATCGGCCTGGATCGGTGATCGGTCGGTCAGTCTCACTTCTTTCCGATTTCAAGCCGATCCAT